TGAATTCAAATGTCTTTATTGTGGGTTTTCTCTAAACGGAGCTCATTTTACAAGAAGACATTTCCTTCCCTCCCTCCACACTTGCTCATGAAGGGAGTGGCATCTGACTGGTGCCTAGAAAACGATAAAGCTGGTTGAGGACTGAAAACAGGAGGCCCCAGTGGACAGAGGGTGGAGCTGGTCACAGAGTATTTGTGGACACAGTGGGAGGGTTCAGGACGGGTGTTCTCTCGAAAGAGAGCGTTTCCAGAAAGCCTTTCGGGAGAGAAGTCAGCCCCAAAGAGAGAGGATAACCTCAGAAGACACACTCTATACATTTCAGAGATAAAAGCGATCAATGGTTTGTCAAGGGTTGGAGGTAGCAGAAGGGGGTGGCTAGGAGGGGAAGCTGGACTTACTTGGTGAGACTGAACTGTTCTGGGTTTTGAGCTTGGTGGTGGTGCCCAATCATATTGATTATTCAGAACTTACAAAACTGTATTCTGAAAAGGTTAATTTTTGTTGTATCCAAAATTTGCCTTAGTTTACCTTAAAAATTAAAAAGAAAGAATATTTTGAGGTCACAATCCTCTTAAAATATACACATAATTTCACTTTTTGCTAATATGGAGTTAACTTTCAAAAATTCGCATTTTCTATTCTTGTTCATATATTCCTCCAAAACACAGCCACTTATTTATCTATTTATATTGCAGTTTTGCTGGAATATATTTACAGAAGCATTTCAATCTACGTGATTGTACATCAACTAATTACATTTCTTTTTATGTCTCCATAAACACAGGTGTATGTGTAGAGTAAATTTTGTCTAGAATGAATTGTGCTTATTTCTGTGGTAGTGGGACTTAAGGCGCTATCTATTTGGAGTTTTTTTTTTTTTTGGCATTCTTTTTGTCGGCTTTAATTACTTATGATGAACATGTAGCATTTTTTTCAGCAGATTTTTTTTTCCCAAACCAAAAAACAGATGCAAAGTAAGAGAAGGTAAAGATGTTCATTTAGCAACTAGAATGAAGTGGACATCAGAATTGCTTGAAGGTTATTTCTACGATCACTCACTCTATGGCAATGAAATTACCTGGAAGACAAGTGTGCCTTGGGTGACGCTAGGTGATGAGCTGCTTCTCAGGTAGAAAGGACCAGAAAGTGCTGCCTGTCTGACCAGACCTCTCAGTGTAGATTCAGCTCCTAATGGACCATTGGGAGGATATCAAAGTTGTCTTGCTTTTAACTGATGTAACTCTGGCTGCCTCAGTTATTTGGCAAACAGCATCTCTGTTCAATCTTTAATGCCTGCTGGGGTCAGATAACTAAGCCTCGTAAATGCTGATGGACCCGGACAGATCATGTCCTGAAGAGGTGTGCACTCCAGGCAGACAGCTGAGCTTGTCAGGGTCGTGCTCGAAGGATATGTGAAGCTTACAGCTCAAACCCAGGATGTGAGAACACAGGTGTACTCAAAAGTATCTGCTTTTATTTTCCAGTATGCGTCATTAAAAAAGGTACAGTTTTATTAGTAGTACATTATGAACTTAAAGAACAAAGTGACAAGTTTTTGTCATAGATTTTAATGTACATTTTACAAACATCCACCAAAACAATTAAAAATGAAATAAATATATTTACACTTCACATTTCTGGTATTTTCATATCATTTTAATATGTATAAAATATATAACATTTATAATATTTTATTTATCTTTAAAAGCAACTTCAGATGTGCAAATAGGTGAGTTATGATTTTATGGTATTAAGGAATAAGGATAAATCATAAGAGTTTCAGAGGTGTGAATAAAGCAGGTCCTTACGGAGGGTCGTGGGACAGAAGGGTTAAGACCAGCAAAATGTTTGTTGCTAATATTGAAACATCAACACTTACCTTCAAAAGTTAAGCACAAGATTGTCCTTGTGCTTTTAAAGCTTCTCCACCTTGCTGATTTCTAGCAGTCGTTCTAAATAATTGTGAGGATTATTACTTGTCCCCAGTAATCAAGCCAGCATTTCTCCAGTCCAGCGTTCAATGTAGGCAGTTTATGAACAAGCTCTGTTTTCAAAAATGAAGAAAACCTCTAACTTTAAACTAATACACCCAAAGGAGAGTTTCTCTGTTGACAAAGTGAATGTAGGATGGACGTTTATTTTCGAGGAATTACATTTCTTCTTGCTGAATGACAGCTGTGTGATCAAAGGCTTTCAAACGGTAAGTTGGTACATGTCTGAAAAGTGGACAAGGAATGATGAGTGATGATTTCCCCTTAAAAACAGTGCTGGGTTGTAAATGTTGGGGTACGCATTACATTTATATTATCTATTAATTAAAGTAGCTCTGAAATAAATACTTGTTGCAATATAACAAATTAAAAGTGCCCCTGCTTTAATATACTTCAGCTTAAATGAATTGTTATTCTTTAGCAGGCAAAATGCATTCTTACAGTAGTTTGCAAAGATTTCAAATGATGTTTGAACTCTCTTCTCTGACCTAAGTACCTATAATGTAATGTTCCCTTTGAATTCATACTATTTACACTAGAATGGACCTGTGGTGTGTATACATATACACATGTGTATACAGGTGTGTATATATATGTATAATGTGTATGCACACACACACATACCAAGGCACTGAAGAGGGATACACGCTATCAGGCATTCTGCTGTGAAAATATGCTCTAGTACAAACTAGGATTTGATGACTAGACCTCATGCATCTAAACCTAAATTACACGAGAAATAGAGATTTATCTGAGTATTTTGGTTCATTTCTAACCTTTCTCATTCAAGTAGTCCAAGTTGTAACAAATGACAGTGCCTAATTGTTGCTCTGTGACTGAAAACATTAAATGTTATTTGCTAACTGATGAAAATCAAAATAAGATTTTTATACTAAGTGGCTTCTCCACTAATTGTATTAAGTAGCAATTTAGGCCTGTTTTGGTTTTTTTTCTCCCAAAGTATCAAAAATAAACACAATATGATAGTATTATAAATTTTAATTCAAGCTAAAATTTACAATGTAAATTTAAAGGATATTAAGTATATATTTGAAATATATTTTGCTATATAATTTGTGATTAGCATTTCATTCTGTATATACATATATGTGTATGTGTGTGTGCGTCTTGCACAAGGAGATACACACGCAGATGTAGCTCATTGTGCACCTTGTCCTTCATACACACAAGCACAGGCTAGAAGATTTTTATGATACAACAAAAAAGGTGTTTAATTAAATGCCTTTTTGTATTCTTTAAATGGAGCTTTTACAAAATCTGACATTGGTTTTTAGCGATTACATTACACTTACATAAAGATTTAGAACTATTTCTTTTCCTTTAGGCTAATTAGCCCATTTCATATTGCCTGTAGACCGCTGATCACACTAGGACACATGGACTTGCCCCACGCAGGGCACACTGGGGTGCGACTCTAGTTAGCCACAGAGGTTCTGCAATGAACTGGCCGCCAGAGCCTCCGAGCCTCTGTCTGCCACTGCCCCTTGGGTTCGCTAGTGGCCTGTTTTTGGTGGGCTTCCGGTTTTAGAATGACTCTTTTGTTTCATCAAAACATAGCAATAATTCTTTAGTGTTATCCCAATTAGGGACATGTGTTTCATTTGATGGTCAAACTGCATGAACACTGCATGTTGTCCAGCCTGCCACAGCTCTTTTCATAAGGTTCCTCGATTGAACTTAACCATCACCCAGGTTTTCTTTTCAATTTAATGTGCTTAAGAGTCAGTCAGGTGCAAACTGAGCGAGTAACTTACAGTGATTATGGAAGTTGTTTGATGTTTACTTTTTAATTATAATGTTCATGTGTCCTTTTAACACATCATCTGTTTCCTTCTTTAGTGATTTTTTTCCTTTCTATTAAAAAAGAAAAGTCAAACCACCATGTTAGGTACTTGGTCACCTTCCCAGGGGAATAGCCAATGTTTGGTTGAGTTGGGAAAGCATGTGTTAACAAAAAAGTAGCTTTTCTCTTTCTTAGTAGGCGGGGGACGGTTTGAAAGCGTATCTCAGTAGAGCTGCAGCGAAGGACAGACAACGTTACAGGAAGAGCTACGTCACACCTGGGGCGCACGTCGTACGCGCAGCTCCAGCGCTTTCAATCCCCTCCCTCTTTACTTTGACTTTCCTGAGACAACCCGCGAGGCAGCTCATTTGGTGCTAGGGAACTCCTTTTTATGACATGGCCAAATAGACATTTTAAGTTTTATTCTCATATCTCACCTTATTCTTTCATAAACTGTAACTAAAATGGGAAAATGCCATCTACCTAAGTGATAGCTTTGAGAATGCTTTCTAGGGACGTTTTGGTCCAGGACTGACAGGCAGGGTTAGGACTGCAAAGAACTGTTCCAACGTCACATGTGTTGATACTATTTTCTGTACAAAAGTTTCTGGGGGTCACTGGACGTGTAGCTAGGAGGTAAGTCCCAGGGCAAACATCAATCTCCTTAAATGAAGGAGAGAGCAAGTGGTCACGGACCGTCCTTCGTTCATAATGAAACTGACACGTTAGCGAAGAAACACTCGGCGTCAATGACCCAAGGCGGAAACCGCCCCTTGCACGCGCGTCCGCCCCGGGTAAGAGGGAACTGCCCGTCTGCAATTCTCAGCAGTGTTTTGCAACAAGACAGACAAAGCCGGATGCCAGTGTCAGGTCACGGGATGCGAACACAAGGAGGGACCCAGACCGGCGGGTGCAGGCGCCCTCCTGAGACGCGGGTCCTCGCGCGGGTCCCCCTGCTGCCTTCAGGTCGCTCCCGGTGCAGCGACACGAAATAACCTAAAATACAGAAGCAGCCGTTCGGCTGTCTTTATTCACAGGTGCCGCACAGTCTGTGTGTTACCTACATCCTCGAGCGGCTGCGTCCCTCGTTGCAGCCTGAGGCCGGGGCGCCGGGGCGCGTCCCCGAGGGGGAGCAGGGCCTGCAAAGCCTTTCGAGACAGAAGTGCCTTGGGGATCTGCAGGACCTTCTTCTTCTCTTCTTCTTCTTTTTTTTTTTCTTTTTTCTGTTGCGGTTTCCATGCGATTCCGCGGTGGCCTCGGTGGTGCGCTTGCTTCTCCAGCGTCCGAAGCGAGTGGCCACCGTTCCGTCCCGCTCACAGGTCGCGGCAAGCGGGACGCCGAGCGCAGCCGTCAGGTCGTGTACTTGGCTTTGCCCGTCAGCCCCGAGCTGGAAGCAGCGGACGTCGCGGCCTGGCTGCCCAGGAAGAAAGGGTCCAGACAAGCCACTTTGGCAGCGAAGAATGAGTGAATGCAGTGAAGAACGGCGAACAGGTTTGAAAACTCCAGCTCCTGAAAGGGAAAGCGGAACGAGTTATGTAAACGAAAAAGTATCTCCTTAAAAACATTGAAAATAACTAGGCAGCTAGGCCACAGCTGGACAATGTCTTTCAAGTGCAGTAGACTTAACTAGCATCAGTTCTAGCTAATGACATACCACAAAGCTCCCCAAATGCACCTGTTTTGTTTCTAATAAGCGCTCTGCAGGTGTTGCAAGTATTTGGTTAATTTCCAGAGCTCCGAGGAAGTTAACTCCGATAAAAACTGGACGTAGTTCCCCCCGACGCGTTTCCAGCTGCCCCCGATTCTTCTGTGGTGAGAAGCATCACCAGACAGGCTGACAAGGACCTGCATCGCCAAGCGGAAGCCCCGCCCCGTCCTCATCTTGCCTCCTCGGAATCGACACACCGGAGCTCTGCAGAATTTGCGGGGAGGGGAGAAGTATCTGGGAGTTTTAGAAAACTTTTGGTTCCAGATGCCAGAAAGAGTCAGAAATTGTGAAAAGCAGGCTACGTAAGAAGCGGCTCCTTCTTTTTCGAACTGGAGGGAGATCCTTCGTCCCAAATCCGCACCCAGCTTTGTGACTGTTAAGCTTCCTAACTGGTGAGCCCTCAAAGGCCAGATCGTCATCTGAGCAGGTCACCGGTCATTCTCTTCCAAAAGGCAAACTTCCGCACATCACGAATTCTTTAGTAGGATCTTTGATAGACACTTCCTGAGCATGCAAAATGTTCACTCATCGTGTTATATATTCAGTCCTTGCCTTCAAACTACAGAACACTGTGTCCCTAGGGCAATCCTTTAGGCAGGCACTTTTATCCACAATTTATAATGAGAAAATGAAGCTTTACAGAGCAGAGCTGGAAAGGGGCATTACTGGAACTTAATCCTCAGCTTCTGATTTGAGTCTTACTAAACCATAATATACCTGAAAGGTCTCTTTTGGGAGCGCGATGTCTCTGAGGCCATGGAGATTGGGGGTCGGCAAGGGTTTGGGGAAAGAAGTCTATTTAAAATGTTTCCAAACTCTGCACTGTTCCACTATATAAAAAAGCAATTTTCTTTTTCTTTCTCTTATTGGACACAAAGCACTCCGTTGGCTGCCAGGCCTCAGATCCAGTAATTTAGGATTAATATGCTGTATACACTGGTTTAGGAAATATTTTAACAGTGTTTCCATGGGAGGAATGGTCATGAATTTCAATGAATAAAGCTACAACAATGCTTTTAGAAGACAGCCTGTTTTGAAGTCAGAGGATTGTCTGGCCATATTACATCAAACTATAAAATACATGTACATAAAGATAATAAAAACATTAGAGCTATAAACTATATATACATATATATTTTTAACCTAGAAAAAGTGTTACGGACAACTCTGAGAATATGTTAGTGATCCTTGATGCACTCGAGTGTGTATTAACGTAATAAATAAACCTTTATTTTTTAAAGTACCCAATAACAATAAAATGAGCTTTTTTATAAATTGCCAAATAACTACAATAGTGCTCATAACTTCAACTGGGAACCATTCTAGAAGGACTAGAAAAGTTCTGAAAAGTTTAATGACACTTTAGAACACAGATGGGAATTTTTTTCAGCTTTCTGAGTAATGAAGTGAGAGTTTATGAATTTTTGCTTTCAGAGAAAAAAAACAGCAGACTTATGTACTGTAGCATTGTCTTTACATAGCCAAAACCCAACAAAAACAACAAAAACAAAAACCAAAACCAAAGAATGCTCCCCTAAATCCATGAAAATCCACATGACTTTTTTTCAGTATTTCTGAGATTTTTCACAACCAAAAGTTTAAATACTATATCGAATTTTTAATCTTCTAATATATATGGGAGCTCAGTCACATTTGCCAAACAACCGTATTTCTTGCTAAGTGAGCTCGAGCTGTTACGTGTTTGCCTGTGACTAGGGAATGTGTTATGAATTACTAGAGTGTGTGTCACTGAACATTGTCTACTTAACACATATAGCAAGGTCTGAGTCCACTTCCTAAATCATTTTATCATTTAAAAAATAATCTTTAAAAGAAAAGAAACATTGTAACAGCCTCCATATTTAAAACATTGGCCCCAAGTTATCTTTTATTTTTTGTAAGGTTTATTGTGGTATCTTAGACATATAAAATGGTATTTATTTAAGGTGTATGACTTGATGTTTTTATATATACACACATTGTAAAAAAGTGCACCAACATCAAGCTAATTAAGCTAATTAACACACAGTCACCTCTGTAACTGCTATTGTGTGTGGTGGGAATGGTTAATTTACCATCTATTCTGTCTGCAAATTTCAAGTATACTAATATTGCTCAAAATTTGTAGATACTGACAGGCATATGCAGAATAGATAAACAAGATTATACTGTACAGCACAGGGAAATATATACAAGATCTGGTGGTAGCTCATAGCAAAAAAAATATGACAATGAATATATGTATGTTTATGTAGAACTGAAAATTGTGCTCTACACTGGAATTTGACACAACATTGTAAAATGACCATAACTCAATGAAGTAATGTTGAAAAAAAGTGAAAAAAAGAAAGAAATATTGCTACCTATGTCATTACAGGTACATTAGCTCCCTATTCATCCTGCAAAACTGAAATTTGTGCCCTTGACCAACGTCCCCCCATTTCCCTCCCTGCAGCCCCTGGCAACCCCCGTCCTCCCCTCTGCTTCTGTGTGTGGCTGTTTCAGACGCCACACGCAGGTCGGGCCACGCAGTGTTTCTCTTCCCATGTCTTGTTATTTCGCTCCACTTGCTTATTAGGACCTCACTCCACTCCACCAAAGTCACAAACAGCAGGATGCCCTCTTCGTGTAAGGCTGAATACTGTCCCAGTGTGTGTGTGCACACGTGCTGTACATCTCTGTCTGTCTGTCTGTCCATCTACTGCTGACCAGTCAGCCCATCGGTCTGTTAATCTTCTGATCCGTAAGTATGCTGCTGCGGGTCTGTGCAGACTTCCTGTTTCTTCTTCATTCAGTCTTCCTAGTTTCTGTGTCTCTAGGAATTCATCCATCTTCCAGGTTACCCAGTTCACTGGTATTCATACGAGGCCCTCACCCATTTTCTCTGTGTTCTCCATAGCATGTCTCCTCTTACACTTCTAAATGTGTTTATTTAGGTAGCTTTTCTTCTTTATCTGAGTTTTTGACTTTTGTTTTTCTTTTCAAAAAACACAACTTAATTTTACTGATTTTTCCTATTGTTTATTTATTCTCTATTTCATTTATTTATTCACTAATCTTTATTATTTGCTTCCTTATGATAATTTTTGGGTTTGGTTTGTTCTTTTTCTTTATAATGTAGGAACTTCCCTCCTAATAGTGCTTTTGCTGCATCCCATAGGTTTGGGTGTGCTGAATTTTCATTTTTGTTTCTCTCAGGTATTTTTTTTAAGTTCCTTTTAATTTCACCTTTTGGCTAGTGATTTTTTTCAAGACTGTGTCACTTAGTTTCCATGTATGTGTGGGATTTTTCTGGTTTCTTTCTGTGATTGATTTCTAGTTTCATCCACGTGTGGTCTAAGAAGAACTTTGTTTTTAAATTTCAATCTTTTTAATTTGTTAAGACATGTTTTGTGACCTAACATTTGATCTACCCTGGAGAACGTTCCATGCCCTTGGGAAGAGTCTGAATGGGCTGTTCTGTTTACGTCTGTTCGGTCCACTTGCTCTGTGGCGTTGTTACGTCAGCTGCTTCTGTGTTGCTGTTCTGCCTGAATGTTCTGTTCCGCACTGGCAGCGGGCTCTGAAGCCTCCTACTACAGCTGTGTTGCTGTCAACTTCTCCCTTCCAACCTGTCAATATTTTTTATCTGTTAGGTTCTCTGATGTTGGATGCATACATATTTACAGTTGTTACAGCTTTCTGTTGAATTGATCCTTTTTATTATATAGCATCCTTCTTTACTTTAGGGACAATTTTTGCCTTAAAGTTTATTTTGTCTTATTCAAGTTTAGTAACTGAGATGAGCTCGTATCTTGGGCCATAAAGAAAAAGAGAAAGAAAGTGAAATTATACAGAGTATGTTCTCTGACTAACTGTATCAGACTAGCAATCAATTCTAGAACTATAACAGCAATCTTCAAATACTTAGAACATAAACATCACACGTCTAAAAAAAAATCCATGTGTCAAAGAGGAAGCCTTGAGGGAAATTAAAAACACGTTGGGTTGAATGAAAATAGAGAGTACAAGATATCAAAATTTGTGGAATGCAGCAAATCCAATTCTAAGAAAGAAATTATATAATTAAATGTTTATATTAGAAAGAATGAAATTTGAAATCAACAATATTAAAATCCCACCTAGTGACAGGTGTGCGGTTGCCTACAAAGGGCAGCACGAGGGAGAGGGTTCCGTGCTAGGTGTGGACGTGGGCACACAAGTCTACATCTGCTATAACTGACACAGAACTATACACGTATTGCTTCGGTGTGAAGCTCCTGTTTTTTGCACTGTAACTCAGTTGTACAAGATACACCCACTGGGGGAAACTGAATGAAGGACACGTGGGCTAGCTCTGTCCTAGCTCTCCACCTTCCTGTGGGTTTGCATTTCACAGTAATAATTTTAGTAAAAACTGTGTATTACAATTGTAGTTATGGTTTTATAACACTAAATAAGTGTGCCTGAGAAGATACAGTTCTTCATAACCTGTAGTCTAAGACAAGATGTTTCTTGTCTAAAATCTCCAGAAGTGTCTTCTTACACAACCTATCACTCACTGCTGTGATAGAAATAGAAACGTTATTAAAGCAACATCTGTGGCTACGTCATGTGAAAATCAATAGCTTGACTTTTTGTTAAAATCAATATTTAAATGACCATTTCAAATGCAACTTTCCACAAGCATATTACTTTGAAGGAAAAATGCCAATGCTTTTTCAATTTGTGTTCTCATCACGTTAGAGAACACAGAACATAAGCTTAAGCAATAGTCACAGAATCGGGAAATAATATCTTCTCCCATTGGTCAGTTATGTTTATAGGTTTTGAGGGGGGTTGTGTGTGTGTGTGTGTGTGTGTGTGTGTGTGTGCGCGCGCGCATATTACACACACACGCACACACGTTTTGGTATCCACTGAAACCACTGCCTAACCCAAAGTAGCAAAATATAATCCCATTTTTTTTTGTAAGAGTTTTTAGTTTCAGCTCTTAAATTTAGGTCTGAGATCTATTTTGTCTTAGTTTTTTCTACAATTTGCTACAAGGTTTCAAAATCATTCTTTTGCATGAGACTGGTTGTTGTATCATTTATTGAAAATAAGTTTTTTTCTTCATTGGCAGTTTTGTCCTAAATCAAACGACTAGAAATGTGACAGTTTTTTAGGGGGAAGGGCGGTCAGCTCTGTTTCATTGATCCATGTCTACTCTCATGCCGGAGTAATCAATGCACTCTCTTGATTACCACAGCTTTGTAGTAACTTTGAAATCAAGAAGTGTGAATTCTCCAACTTTATTTTTCTCACTGTTTTCGCTATTCTGGATTCCTTGCATTTTTGTAAAGTTTCAGGATTAGCTTGTCAATTTACATAATAAAAGCAGCTGATATTTTGAAAGGTTTTCTTTTAATTGAATCTGTGGTTCAACTCAGGGAGAAACTGCCCTTTTTGCAATATTCTCTTCTGATTAGTGAATATAGAACGTCTTTCCCTTTATGCAAATCTTCTTAATTTCTTATAACAATGTTATGTTTTCCATATACACATTTTCCATATATTTTTTATTAGATTTTTTTCCTAATAGAATTTTCTCATTCATTTAGGTGTTATTGAAAACAGAACTGTTTCTCAGTTTCATTTGGGAGCTGTTTACCGCTAGTATATATAAATGTTAAGTGGCACTTCTGTGTTGATTTTCTGTATGGAAACACTGCTGAACTAATTTATTAAAGCAGTATTTCAGAGGGGTCTTTATTATTTTTCAATATACAAGATCATAGCATGTGTGATTCAAGATAGTTATTTTAACTCTTTTTTTCTTTTGCCTGTTGCGTCTAGAACACACAGCACGATGCTGAGTAGGAGTGAGAGCAGGCATCCTTGTATTGTTCCTAAAATCTTGTGATTTTACCTTTGACACACTGACGAGTTAGGATTTTTCGCTCCCGCATACAGTAGATTCTCATTTTTTGCAGATTCTGTATTTGCAAGTTTACCTACTTGCTAAAATTTATTTGTAATTCCAAAATCAGTATTGATGGAGCTTTCAGGGTCATTTGTGGGGAAATGCGAAACACTGTGAAATTTTAGTTACTCCACGGGCACTGCCCTGGCAGACCTCAGGCAAAGCGCACAGGAGGGGAGAGGCGGGAGCCGCGCGTCGGCAGCTGGCGTTCACGCCAAGCAGGAGAGATAGTGGAAGTGGGAGAAATAGACGGATTACCCAAAAAGTACCCCCAAACTGAATACGTATTTTTTTCTGATCAAAAGGGAAAACTGAGTTTTGAATAGTAAAAAAGAAACTAAACTTTGTCCCCAAACTTTCAAAACCCAAGGATAAATCTCAGATCCCGGGGACGGTGACCCGTGGGACGGTGACCCATGGGACAGCGGCTTGTTCTGCTGCACCTTGAGAGGACACCGCAGTTGTAGTTTCCAGCTTTCACTGTTTCTATTCTGCTATAGAGGTTTTTTTTTTTATCAATTATGATATTCATACTCCATAAAATCACTAAATATTCTATTTCATAAGAGCTAGTTTCTAAAAACTAGCTGCAAGTCTTTCTAAGCACCCTGAGGTGGTTAACGTACATCCTGCTTAAGGCAGCTTGTCTCTGATGTCAGTTGAAGACGAGAAAAATCGTGACTGAGGATAAGCTGGGGGTTTGTCTTATGAACTCGGGCTCCCGTCACTTCTAAAGACCCTTGGACACTCAGAGCTTGGTCCACACTCACAGCTAGAGCATGGGGTTGGCACTTCATAGTCCTCACTTCAGCACACGCTCATGGAGGAGGAGGGATGGGATAGCCCGTCAGCTCAGAGAGTTTCCAAATAATTACCCCCACGACCGGGCTGGTGTCCACTCGCACTGTTCACTGATTCCGACTGCGCGTGGAAAGGGCTCTGAACGGAGGTCATGCACCGCATCTCCTTCCTGGTCCTGTATCTGCTTCAGGTCACGGGCTCCTCTGTGGATTCATCTCATCTGATCTTCATGCTGATGGCAGAAGCTCTCTTTGCACTTTTTCTCTACCCATAACTTTCTGCCAGTTCTAAGGTGTCTCTGAACACGTCGTGGAAGTATTTTGGTTTCTCCAAATCTTCTGAACAGAGTGCGTGCACTTTTATCCTTACAGCAACCATGGAGCTCATGATCTCTGTCTGACACAGGAGGACGCTGAGGCTGTTTAAATAACTTACCCGAGAGAACGGGCAACATATTTCTGTGTGGATGACAGCGTGCTTTAACTATGAAGTTCACATTCTTACTACTACAGTATGTTTTAAAAATTCCCCCTTAGTCATTGAGGTGCATTCTTTAAAGATGAAGTGATCTGCTGAGAGTCTTCCATCTGCCGGGTCCCAGGGGTATTTATTCCTTGTACTTTCCCTGCAAAGCAGCAGTCATAGATTTGGTGATAAACTGCCTCAAGTAACAGAGCTAGGACACGGTAAAGAAGAGTCTGCCCAGGGCCAATGCTTCCTAATTTTCTTTCCACTGGATCATGCTGCCCATTCCCTCATTTAGAGAAAGTGATGTTCTCAACAGAGGACGTGCTGAATCCTCAAGTGACATCAGTTTCAGCCATAAGCCACCCTTGTGCTGCGCGGTCCCGTGAGTCCAGTGATGTGACACACGGGCATCCTCCTTGCTTTCTTCCTGTGATGGCACTTTTGATTATTCCTCACAAGGTGCAGTTATCAAAGTTATAAAATACTTAGCACTTGTACTAGTTTTAATCTTATGCAGTTTACGATCTTGGCGGCTGTGCTGCGCACCAGCACGGCTAGACAGCTCTGTAGCAGGACCAGCAGGCCCGCTGTTCTGCGTGGTGAGATGGTACCACTTCTTGTTAACCGTCTCCATTTTTAATCTGGTATTTTCAGTGCTGCCCATGTAGATATCACCCTCCCTCACTGAGAGAAGGCCAGTAACTCACCGATGGTCAGGTTCGCGCATTTATTTTTAAGACTGCTCCTTTCCCTGCTCAAAAATCGCTGCCTGTAACATTTGATGAATCTCTTCTGAAACTATTTTTAATAAATGAGAAACTAAAACTAAGACACACAACGTGTTGTGCGTAATTTATTTTCTTATGCCCTTCAGTGAAAATTTGCCATTCAGATCTTAAGGTGAATTCATCCTCTTGGCCACGAGGCATGTTCCAAGGCAAACAGAGGATGTGTGTTTCCCCTCTTTGGAGTCTCCTAAACTGCCTCCCCTGCTGCTTCTTAAGGCATTAACGCAGTTAGAGGTGGTGTATGTGATGGACTGGGTTTACCTTTGCTTCAATCTGTTTAGTATCTGAATTCTGAAACAAAAACTTGATTTTGCTCTTGCCATCATCCGAAGAGCCTTTAAGCTGAGAAAACTTATACCTCCAAAGCACAGCCTGCAGGGGAGAAAAGACACAGAGGGGTCAGTGCAGTTACGTCTGCGCTCAGACCAAGAAGCGCTCACTTTTAACTGGTAAATGTGAATCCCATCAAGTTAGTACGACCTCCCAGTACTTAAAAGTAAATTCAAACGTGTTTATCAAAGGCTGTAATTCAGTATTCAGTATATCCTTTAATTCCCAGAAATGACTTTTGTTCCCATGACATACTTATTTAAAAAATACACCTGAATGAGTCAGTCTAAGTTGTTCTGCATGACGGTGAACTGGGAACAAGCCCCCGACCGCTAAGTCTGCGCGGGGAACCGGCGGACACCCCGCATCCGTGCCTTTGCTTTTCGTCGATAGACGCGATGAGGTGGTTTTCAGCCGAACGTTCCGCAGACGTTCCCCTGGGGCCGCACTGACCACCGCGTCTCCGTCAGGGTGGACGGCCGGCCTGAGCCAACAGCTACGCCCCGCCGGCCGGAGCGGCCCTCCCCGGGCCTCGCGGCGCGCCCTGGGCCCGCGGCCCGCACGCACCTGCCTGAGCGCAGAGCCCCTGCGCCCGCGGAACAGCCGGGGGGATGTCCTGTGGGCGAGAACTTCCTTAACTCAGAGAGCAGCGAGACGGCA